TGCCTTGTGAAGTCCATAACTTGAGATGTAAAAATGATAAAAAGTAATTCTAGGACGTTTTGGAAAGCTAAGACCATGATGAATAACTTTCATGTTCACTTGAAGTTAAGGAGAAACTTGATTCTAGGCCAAAAGTGCCTTGGAAGTGAGTTGACTTTTAGTTGACCAAAATTCTCTTCATCTGAGGACCCCAACTTGTTGGCATCATGACTTGAGATGTAAAAACTCAATGAATGAGTTCTTGTATTAAAAAGAAATCTTGGAAGATGATGAACAAGTCCCATGTTTTCATGAAAGTGACATTGAGCTTGCATCATAGTGAAAATTGTCCTTGAAGTTAAGCACTAAAGAAGGGGATTTTACATTGAAATCATCTGAAACCCTAATTTAGTAACTTCTTGAGCTCTTGACTCTTCTTGATTTGATACTATCATGACATCCTAGATGTTTTAAGATGACTTCCCATGGCCTCAATGACTTAGAACCAAGTTGTAGACCCCCTTAAGACCACAATTGACCTTGGGTTGACCAGATGAAATCCTAGTTCCATGTCCTTTGACTGTGACTTTTGCACATGGATTGAATGACTACACAAACTCCACAATGACTCATAGAGTAATTAATGAGCTTTTAAACCATGTTTCAACCAAGAAAAATACCTCATGAATCCTTGAAAACCCTTTGATGATCTTCAGGATATGAGGTGATACCAATACACAAGCTTCCCTTCTCCAAGAGCTTTGAAACACAATCCTGATGGCAATGAACTCTTGATGGCTTGCACAAATTCCCTTGCTTGAGTTTGAAACCAAAGAAACTCTCCTCTTGAATGGCACAACAAAACTCTTGATCCCCTGTTAAGAACAATGCTATGCAAATGCAAATGCTAAAATGAAAAGAAACATAAGTCAGGTACAGGAAAAATGGTTGGTCAAATTTTGGGATACAACAGGGAGTTGTAACTTTCATTCTGTAGAGAGAAATTTGTTATAGGATTTTGTGTGGACCATTGTGATTGTTACTTATTCTCTTTGTTTGTCTGTAGTGATGAAATCTCTTCTAGAAGCACATGTTGTCCCCACTTGAAAATTTCACTGAACTATTATTGTTGTACAACCGTGAATTGGTGATTTTATTGCTCTTTGACTTATTCTGATATAAACTTGTACTATTCTTTGGTTTAAAAGGTGTGAATTACTGTAGTAGCTTATTTTAAGTATTGCCTTTATGATATTTGTGCTTATGTGATGACTTAGGGAAAATGATCTTGGTATTGCCTTGCTACATCTGAACTTGTTGGTATCACTGCTTTGCCACTAATTTAATTTCTTTATGAATTTTGTGAAATTTTCTTCTCTTCTTGTGTTGAAGTGGTACACGATGTTTGGATTTCATACTGCAAAAACAACAGTGTATTTCATTTGACTTTGGTTTTCATTTTTCTACTTGCATTTGTTTCTAACCCTATATGTTCATTCTCATTTCATGTACAACCTCTGAAGCAACTTGGCGACATGTTAGAGCTTGGAGTTTGGATTAATGAACTTGGAGGTTTTGACAAGAAACTAATGTGGTTTTATTCTACTTATTATTAATGTTGATTTCATCAAATGAGTTTGATAGTTACCACGCCATATACCTATGTATGCTTTGAATTATGCATGCCCTTTAAAACTCATGACTGACCTTATCTTGCATTTTTTGAAAATTCATATGTTTCAAATTGTATAATTGCTACTGTCATGTACCTGTATGGCTCAGGATTTTGCAATGTCAAGTTAGCTTTTTAATATTGCTTTTGTAGTATAGACTAACCATGACTTTGTTTTAATTTTCATGTACTTTTGTTGGCCTGATGGTTGGTATGAGCTTGTATGAGTAAATGGAGAACCCTATTATTTTGGACAATGGGTGAATGAAGACTTGGCATGGAGGCAATCTTGGGTAGCGAAGAATACTCATGGTTGCTTTGAGGCTTAGTATGACGGCTTGGAGTGAAGCAAATTATCATGGCATGGAGTTTTTAAACTTGTATCATGACCCCTTGAAATTGAGTCTCTTTGGGCATTGTACTTGCCTTGTAATTCCTAGATTCAATTCATTTGCTTTGCACTCTGTAATGACTTTGCAACTACTTTAGAACCAAAAGAATTTTGTAACCAAATTGTGGCAATATTCAAGTTTTGTAACTTTACATTCAAATGATGACTAATGACTTGTGAACTTCGAATTTTTAGCTCCTTAATCTTAAATTATGTAACAGTCTTGAAATTACTTCGAAATTAGTTGGACTTTGTGTTATTTTAAGCAAATATAGCCAAGGTTTGAAGGCATGTTATACTCGTGACCCATATTTTGAAGCAACTTGTATCTAGCTTGAAAACTTGATGTAGCTCAAATTGAACATGGCTCGGGATTTAAGGCAAGCATGATTTGAAACACCATAGTACAAATAAATTTGAATAACTCAATTTATGATTTGAAACAATCTGAACATGGCTTTGTATCATCTTTGTAAGAATTTACCATCTTGAATATGTAGCATGCCATGGTCCAAGCTTATTTTAGACTAGAACTTTGGCTTATGAAAACTTAATTCAAAAGATAAAACCATTTGAACATCCAAGCATGACTTTGAAAATCTTTATGAATTTAACTACAACTTCATCTTTGTTCACAATGCATCTCTTATGCCTTGACCACATTTTTGCTTATGAAATAATGGTACCATGAACTCCTTTAATAAATTCCCCATTGGATGCCAATTTGGATCCACAATAAACATACATTAAGATGCATAATCACTTTTTCGATCACTTTGTAGCAAAGCTATCAAAGATTTAACTTGTTTCCTCACATAACCTCAAGTCAATTTTGAAGTATGCCTCAAAACACATAGAGGAAAAGTTTGTAACCAAGTCGAAATAGGATTCAAACCACTTGAAAACCAAAGATTATGCTTAAAAAATCGACCCAATTACATGACTTATGCCATTGACCACGTCATAGCTGCTTGACCATGAAAATGAGGGCACATCCTTCCACAGGAATCCAACATACTTTTCAAGGGACTATAATCACAAAGAACACACACAAAACCTTCATGACCTAAATCCTAAAGGATCATGGCCAAAGGCCAGATGATCCTTTTGGGAAAGATCATGAAATAACACACATGCTTGGGTATGAGAGGAAGGAAGGGTAGGACAAATTTGGGGTATGACACACTCACTTTCACTATCCCAAGCTATGTACACTCTTCTAGTTTTTCTATACTTCTTATTTTGACCCTTGTCTTTATCATTCTTAAGTCATGGACAATCTAGCTTGTAGTGTTCGGGTTTACCATAATTACAACACAAACTCTTGGAATTTCCTTTTTTATGCTCATCATGTCTCGAGGAGTCAATTTGTCTTCTAAAATTTTTGAGATTGTTGTTTGAGTGCTTTACTTTGTTTCTCTTCATGTAGTTATAATACCTTTTAATAAACAACATTATTTTCTCATCATTCAACTTCTCATTATCACTAGACCCACTTTCATCATGCTCTTTTATTGAGGAGTTGGAACTAGAAGCCACAAGAGAAATGAACTTCTTTTCCACCTCTTTTTCTTTGTTTTTTTCTTTCTTAACTTTCTTCTCATGCTTATCTAAGCTAATGATCTCTTGCTCATGTTCTTCAAGCTTACCAAACAATGTAGTTGTATCCAATGTCAATAGATTGTTAGCTTCCTTGATGGCATTCACCTTAGGTTGTCATTCCGTATTAAGACATCTCAAAATTTTGTTAGTAGCAATATCATTGGAAATCAGCTTACCAAGTGCATTCAAATAATTTACAAGATGAACAAATCTCTTTTGCATTTTTTAAATGGTTTCACCATGCTCCATGTGAAAGAGTTTAAAATCTTGATTTAAAGTATTGATTCTTGCTTGTTTGACTTCATTTGTACCTTCACGGGCAACTTATAAAGCATCCTACATAGCTTTGACGGTTTCACATTGAGAAACATGGTGATATTCATCAACTCCTTAAGTGGAGGTTATAATATTTCTTGCTTTTCAATCACTATAACATTTTTTCTCATCTTCCCCATTTTATTGTACTTCCAATTTAGGCACAACAACACCATTTGCATTGGTCATGGTAATTTCAAATGGACCATTTTAGATGATGCTCCATACTTTTCTATCAATAGAATTGATATGGATAGACATACAATCCTTCCAATAACCATAGTTCTCACCATTGAAAACTGGCGGTTTATTATACGTCCCCTTTGGTCAAGAAGCCATAATTTAATAATCGAATTTGAAGCACAAGATAAACCGGTGCTCTTGATACCACTTATTTAATAATCGAATTTGAAGCACAAGATAAACCGGTGCTCTTGATACCACTTATTGGACGAGGGCAATGATCTATAATGGGGTGAATAAATCACCTAAGGAAAATTTTCTTATTTAAAATTTGTTTTAAAATATAAAAACTAAAAATTAAAAAATATTAAAGAAAATAAAAAATGCATTTAAACTTAAAAAAATTTAGAAAAACGATTTATTTTTTTCAGAATAAAAACAAAAATAAAGATATTTATTCCAATAAAATTAGGATTTAATTGATATTGACATAGTAAAATAGTTTTATATTATTATTTGATAAAAAAACAACCGTCTATCATATCATTAAAAAATCAAAAGTCTATCATATATTATTTTTAAAAAAAAAATCAGATGTGATGGAATTTATAGTGGTCGTTGATTAATAGTATAAAAATAATATTATTCATTTTCTCATAAAATTATACTAATTTGATGGTTTTTGATTATCTAGACAAAGACTAAATTAAAAAAAGAAAATAAGGAAAGAATCAGCGGTGTTTAAATGTGAGTGAAGGCTTACACACAGTCCTTCAAGAGTGAAGAAACCACTGTGTTAGCTAGCAAGGGTTTAAGAAAGTGTCGCTCTGGGTGGCAAAATCCGCAACATTGACGACGATGACAGACAAAGTGAGACTCCGATTGTTCTTCGACGATCCTAACATGCTCAGTAAGTCAAAGAAGAAAGAAGGGTTAAAACGTTGCTGGTTCCTTCTAAAACCCCACCTCACTACCATTTCCGATCTCACTTCCCATCTCCAAACCCTTTTCCGCCTCCACCGCACCTCCCCCGCCGGCATCACTCTTTCAGTATACATTTCTCATACTTGCATGCCCTTTTCGTTCCTCTTTTATCAAATCATTGTTCTGTTTGTTTGATTTATTGTTTTTGATTCAGATGGATGGCTTTGTTTTACCATCGTTTGAGTCCACTTGTATTTTGAAGGATAAAGACATTCTGTGGTGAGTTTTTTTTATCCAATGGTTGTATTGAATTTCCGAGGATGTTGTTAACTTGTTCTAGTTTTTATTACTTATATTATTGTGTTGTTTGCATGTGTATGGTAGTGTGAAGAGAAAGGGAAGTAGGTTAACTGATAGTAAAACTGCAATGCTGCCGTTAGAAGCTCGTGAGAATCAATCCATAGAGGCTCTGAACCTACTTGCAATTGAGGGGTTTCAAGAGGAGAAGCCAGAATATGAAACTGTTTCCCTAGATGATGAAGATGATTATGATGATGATGATGATGACGATGATCAACCTGAAGATGTGCTTTATGTGGAATCTAAATCTGATGTGAATACAACCTCTAAAAAGAGAAAGGCGTCGAAGAAGCTTAAGCGCCCTAGGTTTGTTTCTTCACATTTTCTAACTGTTGTGCCCTGCAAGGCGTCGAAGAAGCTTAAGAGCCCTAGGTTTGTTTCTTCACATTTTCTAGCTGTTGTGCCCTGCAAGCCTACAGAGTTGTAAAATTGTATGAGTTTTGTTGTTTATGATGCATTTTTGCTTTTGGGAGTTTCTGAATCTAGTTTCATTGAAGTAACTTTTGTAAGGATGCGCAACTTGTTTTTGGCCGAACTACTTGTTTTAATTTTCAAGTTTATATAACTATATATTACCTAGGGATATGCTTTTTGTAGTTATTTATAGTTTAGAATTTCTGTAGCAGTTATCTGTGGATGTATATATATTATTCAAGCTGTTACTTGTTAGTTTGATTCAATTATTTTTGTATTCAGTCAGAAGAAGATTAAGATGTCTACTACTGAAAACGTATCAGTCATTCCGGAGGTTGATGATGAGGAAAATGTAAGTATTAAAGACGGTACTCACCACCAGCCAAGTCCTGCAAAAAAGTCATCAAAAAAGTTGTCAAAAAAGTCTAGCAACCTTGATTTAGTTAAACAAAAAGACGACAAAAATGGGTCAACAAGCGATGAAACAAGGTGCTGCATTTTTACCAGAGATTTATCATATATCATATATAAGATGTTTGGATATTATATAAATATTCCATTTTCTAATCGTAAATTGCAGTGTGTATTTGTAAAGTTTTGTGCCAGACACTTAGCTGAGAAAATTTCAGGGACAATTTGTTGCATGCTTGGTGATCTTATATTCTGACCATTTTTTTGGTTTTTCTATCTACCTTTTTAGATTGAAAGATGCACTTTCATGAAGTAGGAAAACGGGTTTCATGTATAAGCTGTTTTATTTCTGTATTCCTACTATCAAATCCCTTATTTTCATCCAACTTTATACCCTTGATCCCCCACAATGACGATGCTTGCTTCCAGCATATTGAATGTAGAAATTTTTTTGTTTACCGTTTTTTCTGATATATTTCATGTAGGTCTCTTCAGCCTCAAGGTGAAGGCGAAACTAAAAAGGTACTGTTTTATTTTATGGTTTTGAATACACATTTAACTGAGGTTCTATTACCTTGATGAACTGATTTGGAATAGAGTAAATACTCAGATTGAAATAAATACTCAAATTGAGCTTCCAAAGATACACGAGGCATTGAGTTAGTCCTCCAAAAAGATATTGGACGCAAGTTTGGTCCTTTGTAGTGTAAATTCAGCATCAATTTGGGCTTCGATTGATGTCCTAAGAGATAATGAGGGAATAAATTGATGTCCATTTGAAACATTGGATTGCTAAATTGATATCTAAAATTCTTTGGAAGACTGGCTGTCTCCTGTGTATTTGGAGGATCAATTTTACTTCTGTAATAAACACTCCTCTCCTGAGATAATAAAACAACATATCCTTTATATTTAGATCAAGCAAGTATACTATAGCACTTGGAGACTAGTTGATGCTCATTAAATAAATTATTGGCGTTTTTATGGATCAACTTCCTTGCTGCTTCATATCACATTTACTAGCCAACCTCTTTACTGAAGTAGGGGTGTTCAAATTAATCCGCTTTAATTTATCGTTTTTATTTTATTTTATTAGTTGCCTAGCAGAGCTGCTCGGCGGAAAAAGGCCAAGAGAAAGTGGTTGAGGGAACTAAAATTAGAGAAGGGGAAGGAGAAGGAGAAGGAGAAGGAGAAGGAGAAGGAGAAGGAGAAGGAGAATGAGAATGAGAATGAGAATGAGAATGAGAATGAGAATGAGAATGAGAATGAGAATGAGAATGAGAATGAGAATGAGAATGAGAAAGAGAAGGAGAAGGTAATCTAATCTAGTAATATTACTGCAGAGGTCGTTTACATTTTATATGGAGATTGGAAATATGTTACTCTTGATACTACTTATTACTGAATTGCTGTATATGACGTTGTTTACTTGCTGGGTTATGCGGTTAATAGTCTGGTTAGTAAGATACCCACTTCATAATATTGCAAGGGTGGAAATCATACGTCAGTCTTATTGGGGTCACTTGTCTTTGGTTACCGTTTTCAAAATATATTTAATCTTATTTTTGAGGTAAAACCCCTTTACTGAAGTAGGGGTGTTGAAATTAATCCGCTTTAATTTACTGTTTTTATTTTATTTTATTAGTTGCCTAGCAGATCTGCTCGGCGGAAAAAGGCCAAGAGAAAGTGGTTGAGGGAACTAAAATTAGAGAAGGAGAAAGAGAAAGAGAAAGAGAAAGAGAATGCGAAAGAGAATGAGAGTGAGAATGAGAATGAGAATGAGACAGAGACAGAGAATGAGACAGAGACAGAGACAGAGAATGAGACAGAGAAAGAGAAAGAGAAAGAGAAAAAGAAAGAGAAAGAGAAAGAGAAAGAGAAAGAGAAGGAGAAGGTAATCTAGTAATATTACTGCAGAGGTCGTTTACATTTTATATGGAGATTGGAAATATGTTACTCTTGATACTACTTATTACTGAATTGCTGTATATGACGTTGTTTACTTGCTGGGTTATGCGGTTAATAGTCTGGTTAGTAAGATACCCACTTCATAATATTGCAAGGGTGGAAATCATACGTCAGTCTTATTGGGGTCACTTGTCTTTGGTTACCGTTTTCAAAATATATTTAATCTTACTTTTGAAAGAAAATATTATTGTCTTTCACATTTTCAGCTTCATCTGTATCAGGTGCTTGAAAAAGATGATCAACAATTACCAATCAAAGAAAAGAATTGCCTAGTTGCTGATGTGCATCAACAATCCGATGAAGAAAGTGAAGCAGAGGACGACATGGTTCCTGTGGAGATCAAGCCAGGGCACATTCGGTTCCAGTCTCGTGGAAAAGGTTTTTAAAGCACCCTCGTTGCTATATGGATTATTAACTAGCGTCTGTGTTTATTCGATTTTAGATTTGCTTTCCTGATCTGATTATATGGTGTACATATTTATGGTCTATTTGATGCAGGTCAAGCAGTGCCAGAGAATCAGTTCCCAGTGGTTTGTTAAACTTTCCTTAACATTTACAATTTCAGTTGTGTTTAACTTTTTGCCCAAAAGAGTCCATATCAAACATGTGATATAATTAATCTGCACATAGTTGTAGTGAACATTAGTATGTTTGCACCTGATCTTTTGTTTTGTTATTATATTTTATTTTATTTATTCATTTGGGTTTTGGACTATAGCTTGATGAAGGATATAAAGTTTTCCTGCCTTGAGTGATTTGAAATCCAATATTGCAAAATTTCCATAATAGACTTCTTGTTACTCTTAGGTCCTTTCCTAGGTCTCTGGGTAAGCTGTTCCTCAATATATCAAACTGTTCCTCAATATATCAATTTTTTAGCCCTTGATTGATTTTGTTCCTCTAAAACAGCTCATGCAATCCATATCTTAATTCTAACTGGAGGGCCTAATAGTTCAAATAGTTTAACTGACTCTGTTCGTTATCTACTCAAGCAATTTGGCCCACAATGTTAATTCCGTGCCTGGTTGATTATAAAGTCAAAACCTTGCAGAAGGAAAAAGTTTATCTTGGTGGTGTTTAGATTTCATGAGGCATGCCTACCATTTGATCACAGCATCCCTGTTGATCTATATGTTACATGGATGTTTCAGGACACATTTCAGTGGAGTGGTACTACCAGCAAGAAGAAGGGCCAGAAATGGGGTAAAGAGAGGACCTCATCCCATAAACAGGATGATTACGAGCAGCCCCGTCAAGATTTTCCTACTGTTCAGAATGCTGGGGAAAAAAAGACATTTGACACAGTAGATTTTGAAAAGCTTACACCTTATACAGACTTGCCGAAGGTTATTATTTTATTTGACGCAGTAGATTTTGAAAAGCTTACACCTTATACAGACTTGCCGAAGGTTATTATTTTATTTTCTTTCAAGTGTGTCCTTGTGGCATGTCTCATCCTGCCAAGCACCCAGTGTTGTCCATGGGGGATGGCGTTCCATGGCGGAGAGCCAAAATCCCGCCACACCTGGCGCTTTTTGGCGCCATATAGTGGATTATGGCGAAAAAACCGGCAATATCGGCCGATATTTACCATAGCTGCGAGCCCAAAAACTACCATGTATATCCGCCATAGTGGATATTTGATAGCACTGCAAGCACCCATGAAGTTAATCAACCAGCAGCCATGTGTTTGATGTTTTTTCTGCGGATTTTTGTTATACCATTCAAATTCAGAATTTTATTCTGTGCTATGAATCTGTAAATTTTGCTGCTTTTACTCCTTTGGTACTACGAAGTAGTTTCTTCATATATTGCAGGAAGGGATTGTTATTGCTTATCGATTGATTGAGTTATCAGAATCTTGGTCTCCTGAGATCTCCTCCTTCAGAGTAATTATCAAGTCTACTTTTGGACTATTTTATAAAAAACTATTTGTATCAGATGTAAGATGTACGCATTCATGTCCTTGCAGGTTGGTAAAGTAACAAAGTATGACAGTAAATTAAACAGGATATGGCTAGAGACAGTTTCAGAATTTCCATTTGATTTTAGGAAGAAAATAGATGACCTAGATGACGATGCAACACCTGCACAGTATGATCCTTCCCCTTACCAGGAAGATGGTTCTTTAGAGGTAATTTTCTTCTAAAAATCATTTTACGCAGTGGCTTATTCAATGGGGGTAATTCTTGCAAAAATTGGTGCCGATGTTTTTAGTCTTGCATCCTGTTATACAGCCCCACCAAAATAAATTAAATAAAATTTCATTATCCAATTGGCATGTGAGTTTTGCCTTATATAGCAAGCAAATGCTACCAAGGTTTATGTTTAGGACTAAATTTAAGTGCCATTCATTAATTATAATACGGTACATGGATTAAAATGTTTAGTTAATTTAAAATGGTTTTATTTATGCTACTGTGAACACAATTCACGTGTTGAATTGTGATTCAAGAATATTAAAAACAGCGCACAAAATTGTACCATCATCTTGGATTAAAAAGTCTCCAGATTTTGTTTATCTTCCTTTAGATGTATTTAATTTTATCTTACTCAATCCTGGCATTGCATATTGCATATACGCTTGACAATGAATGTCCAATAAACTTGTCTATTTGACAAAAACATGCTGCTTGTTTGCATAAAAATGAAAGTTTTTTCATTCTGCAGATTGATTATGTATCTCTTGCTGATGTTCGTATTATTAAGCATGGCCACTCGAATTTGGCAACTGTAGTTGCTTCTAACGATGCTTTAGTAACTCCAACAAAAGCAACTAACAATAGCACTGATGCTTTGGTAACTCCAACAAAAGCAACCAACAATATCACTCATGAAAAACGTGTTGGTAATCAAACTCCTGTTGGAAGCTCGAAGCCACAAAAGGAGGGCCATACCCCTGCTAAAGGTAATGTACATTTTACAATTCTTAAAGTACACGGTTTATTGTATATAAACATGAAAACATCTTGATACACCTGCACCATACTTACGTACGGAGATTCTTTTTTTACAGAAAATGGAGAAGTTAATGTTTGGGATGAAATCAACGAAGCATTAAAAGCAAAGAAGGCCAGGCTGTCGCAAGGGGATTGTTGGAAGAAAGATGATATTTCAAGCAATAGGCCATGGTCTCAGAGAGCCAAATGCAGCGCACTGGGTCCCACAATGGCACTTTTAAGATCACAGAATGGCTTTAAGAAATAATCAGACAGTTGAACCTTGTTTAAGATGCTTGGTCTGTATTACATGTTTTTTTGGGGTATATATATATATGAACAAATTACCCATACTGTCATCTGTAATGAATGCTACATGTCCTGATTTCAGTATGCTACTGGGAAAAATGTTTAGGGTGCTTATTTTTAGTCCAGCTTTTGGTGTCAGTAGGTGTATTCCTCCTGAAAATGAAGCAGAAAATTGAATCAACTTCTAAACAAAATCTGGACATGGTCGCATCTAAAGTGACAACATAATTTATTGCTGTTAGTATTTTTGCATAGTTAGTTGGCCAACTGAATTGTATATCATATAATGCATTGGATTTAGACAAACACAAACTAATAGTTGGCTGTGAATCAGACCAAGCATCTTAAACTAAATCATTGTTCCAAATAATCAAATTGAAACTTTATTTTGTTTATCAGTGTAAACAGTGACCGTTAACTGATGGTATTAACATTTTACAACATTCAATAAGTGATCTTTCATACAGCCTAGTTCTGCTATCGAATCATGTAAAGGTTATTTGATTGGTATACATCAATTTAAAATTAGTGATTGATGGATTGCTGTCTTGCTTCGTCTCATCATTGTGGCAATAATACTAAAAAGATGAATAAACAAGAATAGGAAAACACCTGAAGCACTTAAAATCAAGAGAAAGATAGGCTCTATATCCCACTAAATTTAATATTTTGTATATTTATATATTGGTTTGTACTTCCAACAGAATCAGTGCACAGCATGCATACAATCTTTATTGGGCATGTACTGAATAGAGTCTGAGCGTGAGTGCAAATATACATATAGAAATCAGCCAATTCTGGCTAAACTGATTCTATTCATTTCTCCTCTACTTCAAGCTCAGCCATCATATTACATAGCATGATACCATGATCTTCTTTAATACTAATCTCACTCTGCTGTTCAACAGCTGAACTAATGATATCATCATCTGCTATTAGCCATTTCCTACTGTTTTCATTATCAGATTTATTGTAATTATCGTCTTTCTTAACATCTAAGTCAGGCAAATGGAATGACTGTGATCTTACCAGGTTCTTATGGACTTTAGAGGATTCTTTGACAGAGGGCAGCAACATCCGAGGCGGTATATTACTCCCTCTACGCTGTGCAATAGAGAGAAAAGATCCTTTTGATGGCAAATATGAGTTTTCCCCTCCCAAGGTTTGATCAGTCGAAAATGACTCTGAAGGTGAAGATAGAAGAACTTCTTTGTTAAGTAAAGAGGAACTTGTTGAGAAAGACAGATCCTTAACATACAAAGGTTCAATTGATTCCGGGCCAGATGGTGATGGCTGCTGGGAAGACACGAACGACAAGTCTGACCAATTAGTAGAGGATGGCGAAAATGTAAACGAACTTGCGTAATCGGAACTTGAAGGTGAAAGTGTTGGCGACTTGGAATTGAATTTTGGGCTGCTGCTTAGAAAACCACAGGGAAAATAACTGCCACAGGGAGATAGTGGCGGCAAAGAAGAAACACCAGGATCAGATTCAGACGAGTCCATGGTTTCAACAGTATCTTTTCCTCTGTCCAAGCTGGTTAGATAACATTCAAAGGAATCCGGGGAGCCACAGTCACTGGGATGATTTGATGACGGTGACGCAGACAAGGGATCGTCATCATCAGCTCCAAAATCTTGTTTTTCTTCCTCCATAATCACATCACACTTCCATTTGGGAGATGTTAAGATTTCTTTCATGACACCACTAGCAAACTTCCGCCTCAATTTTGCCCAGCCATGTTCTCTAGCAGGAAGACAAGTTTCCGATCCAGCACTAGTCTCAGAAAAAGGTGGAACAACCCCACCAGAAATTGCCTTGTGAAAAATCTCAAAATCCAAATCATACGCATCGACTTTTCTTAAACCAATCTCCATCTTTTCAGTAGGCAAAACCAGTTGCTTATCAGAATCACCTGATAAACGTTGTTCATCAAAAAGAGCAGCCCAAAACTCCGTTGATTCTTGATCTTCATGGATACTCAGAATCGGACCATTTGCTCTCTCATAGCGCACGACCTGAAAAGCCGCACTCTTTGCATTGCAAGACATGAACAAGTTACAATTTTTTCCAATCCATACATAAATAGCAGAAGGAACATGAACAATGAAAGCGCCGCGAGAATCAAGTGCTAGCGAACCCGGTTGGTTAACCATCTTAGGAACAAGATGAAGAGGATCATATGGAGAGTGAGGAGCCATTCGGTACATCCTTAGAATAGAATTAGGACTTGCAGGCATAGCATGTACACGTTTCTGACACTGCAAGAGTTGACAAGCAAAACCCATGTTGGGATTTGTGACTCCCCTTGCAGTCTTCACAAACTGAAAAGCATCTTCAAAGCTCTGCCCTTTCCTCCACATGAGATAAGCAATCACCAAAGCCGTGGATCGAGAAACCCCTTGACAACAATGAACAAGAACACGGCCACCTTGTTCTCTAACATCCTCAAAGTAATCAAACACATCATAGAGAACACATGTTATATCCTCTGTAGGACTGTCCTGCAACCAAAGTGTTTTATAAACAAAATCACTTTTGAAATACTCAGGACAAACAAATCCAACACAGTTAAGCACATGAGTTATTCCTTTCTGTCTAAGAAGTTCATGGTTTTTCGCCACCGTGTCACTTCCTAAGTAAATATGTTCCGCAATTCTGGAGCACTCTTTGTCAAAGAAAGCCAATTTATCTCTTTTAAACTGAAAATCTTGTGTTGGTTCATTACTCGTGATGGACCCTCTCGGAGTTTGCGGAAGCGGCCAAACACCAAGATCATCAGATCCAGCACTTGGCCATTCCTCAACGCTACGTTTATTGATGGAAAGAGGCTGAAGAGGTGGCAAACATGGTCGCGGTGGTTTCCGGCTATTTGGAGAACGATCTGTCCATGAAGCTGAACGTGAATAGGTTCTCCTAATGGGGGGTGGTTTCATCTCTTTTCCTTCTTCTCCTAACATATTGCTAAAAGCGTGATGAAAAAAAAGATTGAAAATTGATTCCACCCATTAAAGCATTTTTGCTATAGTGTTGAATATTGAGTAGGTAATGAATTGGGGTTGTTCAAAACTGTGGTGGTAAGGTATAGTAAATGGGTAAGAAAGAATGTATTTGCGGTTTTTGAGTCTCCAATTTTGTGTTCCATATTCCCACCTAAAACACTTGACTTTGTCTTTGTTTTTGTCTCTGTTTTTGTTTCTGACTATGACTCATTCTTCGAGGAAGGGATTGAGAAGATTCAAACAAACAACGCAACAAACACAAAGCAAAAGACGGTTACAAAAATAGAACGGTTCTGTTGCAGGGATGGAACAACAATTCTAGGATCATGTCCAAGAACAGAACACAAGAAACAGAGGCAGAACAAAGAGTATGTTCTTGTACTTTATTATTTGCTTGCTTGTAGTTATAGTTTTGTTGAATTGAGTGGGGTCCATGAAACCATAGCCATGCATGCCACGTAGGAATTTCTCACTATCGTGAGTCGTGGTCTTACACATGCGAAGGAATGTGTCAAACTGCCACGTCACCAACCATGGTCTTTATTTATTTATTTTTTAAAATAATAATAATAATTTTTTTTTCCTATTGTAACCATCGTTTTTTATATCAGTAGGAGCAGCATGGCTATGCACATATATAAAAAATGGCAACCAATGCTATTTTTATTAGACTTGAAAAAGTCTACTAGTAAACTTATCATAAGAAGAAAAGAGATGAAAATTCATCTAGTAGAGAATAATGACAATTTGATAAAAAGAAAAAAAAGTTGAATACTTTGAAAATCCGTTTCCAAACAAAACTCTAAATATAAATGAATTTTTCAAAAATAGAATAAAATAAAGAATAAAAGATATAGTAAAAGTATATATAGAACTAGTAGAGAATCAACAAGCTTCTTTAAACAAATTAAATTAATTATTGATCTGACCTGATCAAAAGGGGATCACTGGCTGTCACGCGTCATCGACTAGTTGCCTGTTCACCGGTGTTGAAGAGGAGGAGAGGGTGTACCTGCAAGACACTCCGATACCAAAGTAAGGAATTGGGCAAAGTGATCACAAGTATAGAAAAAGAGGTAAGAAGAGATTACCTGACCCTCTTGGAGAATTGGGTATTTATAGAGAGACTCCAGCGTAGGGCCAACAGTCATTTGAGTTGGGCTGGATGACCAGGCTCAACCCAAGTGACTGCTAGGGCTTACGTGGCGTAGTGAAGACCAGAACGTGGTCTTCGCCCTAGTTCAACTGCTCCGTGAACTCCGGAAAGTGGGCAGTTGGTAGATGACGTGTCCCCGCGGAGGGGAGCACGTGGAGAACGTGTAAGGACACGTTGTCCTGCCCAACAGGGGAGCAGGTTATGCCCGCGGAGGGGGCAGGTTCTGCCTGACGGGGGCAGTGTCTGCCCGACGGAGAGTCTTGCGTTTGATACAAATGAGACGGGTTCTGCCCGCGGAGGGACATTACCTGCCCTTCGGGGACCTTGTGCTCGACGGCTGCGGCCCAAGCTGGATTGGGCTTGGCAGAATATTATTGGGCTGGGCCTGCCCGGTCAAGCCGGGGCCCAGGCCAAAACAGGAGTCCCCCAAGTCGTAGCTCCGAGGGAGGGAGCGAGGACTTGATGACGTTGTGCCGGGGAGGAGAGATTAGCCTGAGGAGAAAAACCCTCTAGCTCGTGTTTCGCGGGGACGCGAGTGTGCGAGTCTTTCCTCGTCCACGGGCGTCTGGGGTCGAAGACACGTGTTGGCGGGGAGATGTGAGGGGACGCGACTGTCAGCCTTCGCCACGTGTCGTGCGCTGGGTGGCTGCTAGGGCGGCTACCCTAGGGTACTCGAGTGCCTAGGGATGCTTCGAGTCCCGTGCTGGGGTATAAGTAAGCGAACCCCCGCTCATTCTCCACTTTTCGCCTTCTTGCTCTCAATCTCTCTGACCTGTTGCCTCGCTATCGTCTGATATCTC